CAGCTCATTGAAAAATGTGTGTGCAAAGCTGTAAACACCAGGGCTGAAGTACGAGTAAAGCATGTTTTGAATTATTTTAAAATTCCTTGTTTTCCTCGTAGGTCGCATCGAGCACAGCTCTTGCAGAGATTTGTTATTAATCAATATTTCAGGCACATTAAGTTGATTTTTTCTTTTCTTATCTCAACACTTGAGCAAACGTGTTCAAAGTAAGATTGTTTTGTTTTTGACAATCGTGATGTCGCTCAAAGCCAGTAAAAACGCAAGTACCTCTCAGCCTAACCCACCGCCTGCTGTTGGCGCTGCGTCCTCGGCCCATGGTGGAGCGTCGCCGCAGCCTGAGTCATCTGAGATGCCACAAAGGCTGCACTTCTTTCTGAGCTTCGTGACGAGATTTCAGACATGTTTAAAAAGGAGTTGCACGCCGCACTTGACGGTAATCTCTCATCTATCAAGTCCGAAATAAAAGCGCTAAAAACTGAACTTTCCGCCGATATTACCACCATGCGGAGGGAATTCACTGGACTGAAATGCAACGTTACGAAGATGGAGAAGTGTCTCTCAGTGTGCACGGATGATATTGTCCTACTTCAAGCCAAGGTGGAAACTATGTCAAAGGAGCTGATTAAACTAGAGAACAAGTGTGAAGATTTGGAGTCCAGGTCACGTCGTAATAATTTACGCATTGTTGGTGTGCCAGAGGAAAACATCCTGTCTCCCACAGACGTGTCTACGCTTCTGATGGAAGCTTTCGAACTTGAGAAGGAGCCACTTGTGGACAGAACTCATTGGACCTTGGCCCCCAAACCCAATCCCAATGAGCGTCCTCGGGCTATAGTAGTTAGGATGCACTATTACGCGGACTGGGCCAAGATTCCTCACAGCCAGGGAGCTGCAGCAGATAAAGATGCGTAACATGACTGTGATGGAGCGCCGCTAAGCGTCTATCCCAGACTCCACGTGTCCGTGCTCCCTCTGGCCCAGGGGAGCGCGGTGCCGGGAGCGCGCGCACGGGGAGAAGTCTCTCCCACGTGAGTGCGCTGCCCGGCAAACTGCTGCGTGCAGGCCCGCCCTGTGTC